GGAGACTAAGGCAAGCTCTAGCCAAGAGCAATGTTTCCAGGAGAAAAGTCGGGTGGTCCCTTGACCAGAACGCTCCCACGCAGATCAACTCGATAAGACGAGTTCAAGGTACGATTCCACTGAGAATTCGTCGCTTCGTCCGTGCTTCTGTGCGGCACTTCGTAAAATACCTTACAACAAAGAAGAAACCTTCTCAGGTTTGATGGAAAATGAGCGGGCGCCTCGACCCTTCTTTATACCTCCCGTGAGTTGTTGTCCGGGTTGCACCAACCCGGCCATGTGTGGAGCAGTCGTGGAAGCTGCGCAACCCGACCAAGTGTGACGTACCATGTTCTCTCCGCTCCATTGGTTCTTATGACTCACTTCTTTCCCCCCTGTCAATCCGTGCTAGTACTACAGTCATACTAACGTAAGCTGTCTATGGGCTGGGCCGTTGTGCCATGGCCCCCTATAAACCAAACTTAAGGATATAGGGGGCGCGGGGGTATGCGTGACCTCCCGTCACACACAATCTCACCCTCCGGGCTCGGTCACAGTGTCCTCGTTCCTCTCGTCCAGTTCCTCGTTCCACTCGTCAGATCTCGCTCCGCTCATACAAAACTCCCTCCGGTCGTGGCCCAGGCTGTGATTGGTTGTTGTTGTCGTGTGGTGAACAGTACGTGTTGGGACTGAGTGACTGGGTTGTGTTGTGTCTGTCGTGTGTTTGTCACTCAGTCTCTGGTAACTAACTGTTCAGTGGGTGAGTTGTTGTATTGTGATGGTGCGTCGCGTGCCCTTACGGACACTGGCTCCTCCCGTCGCGTGAAGACTTTCTTGTGAACGTGTTTACTCGGTCGAAGAGTCGTAAGTGCGGCTCTCCACAGTCAGTCCTTCGGCCTGCCTGCACCCCCCTTTGGGGGGATTGTTTTCGAAGTCATGGATGGGCCCTCCGGGGGTGATCAGAGGAGTGGTAGGCCGGGAAGGGGTTTCCGCTTGTAAACGTGTTTGGGTACACTATCTTTGCTAGTCCCCTTGTAAACGCGTTGGATGAAATGAAGGCATCGTGCCACGGCGATGCATCCAGTGCGCGTGCATGACGAGTGGTAGCCAGGGATGCATTACGATTCAGTCTACGTGTGTGTATGTAGGCGGCAGCGGGTGCCTTTATACCCTGGATGTGACCCATTTGCGTCCGGGTCTCACGCCCGGTGAGTAGTGGATATGTGCATGGAAGCTGATGGAAGGTGCCTGTCATTGGCAGTGTTCCTCGCGGTCACAATGTTCTAGATGTTTCACAGTCACTTTGTTCTACATTGTCTCTTCCAGGCACGTTCGTATTACCATTGAGCTCCGTCCCGTCACATTGTTCTGGATTGTTCCCTCCAGTCACTTGTCAAGATGAGGCCATCGTCACCACTGGTGTTGCGTGTGCGGGGCGGTCCCCTTGGTGTTCTACAATCACTTTCGTGATACCTCGTGTGTGTTCATGTCCAACACTCCGTTCCAGTAAGGACCACAGGCCATGATGGCGCCGTCAGTGAAACACCCCCTCGGGGGTTGTTGAACGCATGTTCAAGATATGTTACCGGGAGCAAACGGTAAACGAAGCCCGTGCAGGGCGCAGTGGGAGTGCCGTGGACACCAGTGCAGATGATTCACCTGACGGGAACAAGTGGAGCGAAGCCCCGCCAGGGGCTGTTGCGGGAACGAGTGCACTCGGGAGTCGACTCCAGTCATCCACTTTGACAACCGATTCCGTTGCACGGGAGCAAGTGGAGCGAAGCCCCGCCAGGGGCTGTTGCGGGAACGCGTGGACTAGTCAGTCGGTACCAGTCGCTTATTGCGAGCCGCAGGCGAGGCCAGCGGAGCGCTTGCGCGGAGTGTGAACGTAGTTCAAAAGAAAGGAACAATCCTGTTCCAGTTCGGTTCTCTCGAGTCAAGAGACGACAGAATCAATCTGTGCCGTGTGTTCTAGTGGTGCCGCCGGCACCATGTGTGATCCTCGGGGAAATGTCCATGAGCTACTCACTTTTCGTCTCGAGTCGAGGGGCGGTAGCGCCTCCATGCCCTTCCCGGGATTTTGAAAGAGGAAGAGAGGAAGAGAACCAGCTGGGTTCCGTGAGGTGGGCGACCCCTCGGTCTTATATGCCCTCTGGTGTGTGTGAGTCCCCACTAGCGTCCGGGTGCTGCCTGCCCCGTCACTGTCCGGGTGCGTGTATGGAAACCGGTGGTAACCTACACGATGACGTGGCACTCTTCCTCCGTCAAGTAGCCTCTTATGACGCAGTCTCTTCCGTCCCGTGCGAAACTGTTATGAACTACACTCTGATGCTCGAGTGTCTAGAGCTGGGCCATGGAGCAGAGGCCCCCTATAAACCAAACTTAAGTAATAGGGGGCCCAAGAGTAGCAGTGACTCCCTCACTCCTACAAGGTCCTCGCTGCCTGCTCGTACCAGTGTCCTCCATCCTGTCGTCCGTTCTCGCTCCGCTCAAGCACCTCCCTCCGGTCGGGGTGGCCCAACGGTGTTTGTGTGAGGTGGTGACTTCCGCTCGTGTGTGTGCATGTGGATGTCAGTGTCCGTCGTGCGCCCTCACGGACGCCTACTCCTCTTGTTCCTGGGTGAAGCATCTTGTAAACGCCTTGTTCGATCGATGATTGTGAGTATGACGCTTCGCTGCTGTTCGCACCCGGTCCTTCGGCCCGTGCGCACACCCTTCGGGCGTGGATTCCGTAGTCATGAGTGGGATTGGAGGTTCGGGTTGGTAGCGCTTGGAGTATCATTCACTTGTAAACGGGCTTAGGTCTACGGTGTTTGTGTGGCTATCACTTCACTCTAGTCCACTCGTCTGTAGCCAGAGGTCCCTTTATCTGTCTGTAGTCGGGAATTCCTGATGGAGAGGATCAGGTCAAGTCAACTATCATCTGTTCTCATATATCATCTCATTCTAGCGTTGTTGCCACGTCAAGGCGATCAAGTCGGATGAGGCCGTCATGAATACCTAAAACGGAAAGTACGATGGTTCCCCCGGTGGCTCGTCCACACTTCGTTTGCCTCTTTCAGCAGCCTCTCGGATCTCGTCAAGCAAAAGCTTTCCCAAATCTGTTTCCCCCAGGACCACACTCTCGTCACACGACCGACAGCCTTCTAACCAGAACGGCACGTCCCACTGCACAGCGTCCCAGCAACATCGCAAACGCCACACTCTGCTCTTTGCACGGTCGAAGAAGGCGCTTTCCGCAGAAGGGTAAAGCAAAGATGTCATGGCCGGAGCACTGGCGCTAGGCTCGACCTTGGCAAGCGCCTCATACGCACCAGTATTCCAGACAACCGCCGGTTGGATGAGGAACCCTCGTTCGCCCAAATTCTCCCACAGCTCTCGTATCATGTCCAAAGACATAGCAGAGTTTGATGTCTTCCATCGAAGAAAAAACCCCGATGGCACCATTCAAGGTCTCTCAACGGGGGCGTGATGCATGCGTGCAGCATGAACAAGTTGTCAACGCAGCTTCGACAGGTGAAGAAGAGAGTGTAGGCTCCATGCCAACACAAAGTCCAAGGCAGAACACTCCGTTCCACCGCTATTCAGTCCAAAAGGATAAGCGGATGTCTCACAGACGAAGGGACGAAATCAGTCCATTGTCCAACGGACGAAGTCCCCGGCCGTGAGCTCGCACCCACGGGCCATGTGTAGAAAGGGTTAACCCATTGTGGCTCCTGCAATCAAGAATCTGTCTCCGGCCGTTCGAATCAGGGAAGAAAAGACGGAACGAGTCTGTCCGTCATGCACTCCACTTACTCGTGAGTAGAACTCTGTTGGTATTGTGTCCTCCCGGAAGCGTCCTCTCGTACTTGGACTCTTGGTTCTATGCACTTTCGCGGTTCGAAAGCGGGCTCCGTCCTGTTTGCACACAAAGGTGAAAGGGAAGCCTGAGTTTGCTCACTCAGGAAAAGTGCGAGGGGTCCTCTTATACTCCGGTTGGGTCACGTGTGATCCGCCCTGCCGGCACAAAATGAAGGGAAAAGGAGATCCTCGCGGGATGGGGAAAGGGAGCGGGCATCGCAGCCCTTCTTATACCTCCCGTATGATGAGTTGTGTCCGGGACTCTTGCCCGTCCAAGTGTGGAGTGTCTATGTAAGCTACGCAAACAGACATGTGACGCGCCATCTGCCTCCGTTCGATTGGCTCTTAGTACCCACTTCGTTCCTTCCTGTCACTTTCGTGCTAAAGACTGCAGCGTATCTACTTTGTAGTAACACACTGCTCTAGAACGTTGGGCCGTTGTGCCATGGCCCCCTATAAACCAAACTTAAGTAATAGGGGGCCGAAGCACAGAGTGACCTCCCGTCACAGCCATCACTCCCCTCCAGGTCGTGTACCTTTTCCCTCCGGTCAAGGTCAGTTCCTCCCTCCGGTCGTCTCGGCTCCTTCCAGTCGCGGCCCAGCATGTACAGTTTGTATTGACAGTGTACGTGCCTGGTACATCGTGTTCTCTTCCTCGTTGCACTCGGTCGGTCAAGACTCTGTCTTGTTCTGTGTTCATTCTATTGACTGCCCGTCGTATGCCCCTTCGGGACATTCACTCCTCCTGTTCTGTGTGGTCATCTTGTAACGGTGTGTTCGATTGAAGAGTCGTGAGTGTGGCTTCTCACACCCGCCCCTACGGCGCGTGCGCACCCCCCTTCGGGGGGGTTGTGTTCGTATCTCGGAAGGGATTGAGGGTGAGAGGTGGTAGCCCTTGCAGTAAATAACCTTGTAAACGAGTCGGGAATACTTGTAAACGCTTTAAAGCCTACGTATTGTGAGTCCTACGATCTGCCAGGTGTTTGTCTGTAGCCTGGCGGTATATCTACGCGCATGTGAAGACGACTTAAGTTCACTTTGCTAATACGGCGAGTCACCGATGCGTACGATCAGCGTGTTGCAAAGTGAGGCCATCGCGAGTCCTGAATAAAAGCATCCCGCACATCAAGGCTACACCAGGCAGTCCCCCGGCCACAAGGGCAAGACAACGGGACAAACTACAAAACTGGATGCGTGACGCCACAAGCGAGCAATAACCTACGCCTTCGCCGCTTCAGACTCCCATCTGTGTCGAGCTTCAACTCCACCAGGATACGATTGACTTGGGCAGCTGCACCGTGCACATCAGTATGTATGTCAGGACTACCCTCGCGTCCCTTGGTAAACACCAGTGAGGGGACTCACACGAGAGACTGGCCACATCCTCCGCCCGGGACGGGAAATGCTCGATCACCTCGCCCGTGGAAAGGCTCAGCAAGGGCCTGAGATAGCCGTCACCCTGGGCAAGAAGGCTGTTCTCCGAGGAAGTCTGCTTGTTCCGATCCCTGTCTCCCCGTCAGGATCAGCAAAAAAAGGTCGAGAGGACACATTCTCAATAGAGCGCTTCGCTTGCCTCGCGTCGGTCTCCCGGAGAAGGACATCGAGTGCCGACCGAAACGGTGCAGAGCCCTGTGGATTCTCCCGCTGGGCCTTATCCAATCGCGTCATGGCGCGCTCTGAAGCCTGTAAAAGACGGCAGCGTCCAGATTCCTGTGCGGACAGGCGATACACGAAGCGTCAGACCCCGCGGGTGTGACATTGACGATTGGGGTGGAGGAACAGAGAAAGTCTGATTCATCGCTGCCAGCGACGAGGAAAGGCGTCCAATCCCGTGAGACAAGCCGCGTCACCCATCACTGGTGGGGCTTTCCGGCTGACGCCAAATCACCTGACAACGCGACCCCAGATCCACCTTCGGTGACCTCAACGGAAAGAATCCTATTACCCTGCAGACCACTCACTCAGTGGCTGCACTCTGTACGGAGAACCGCCCGGTGTCAATGTGGAAAAGAGCCATTCTCTCAAGCGAAGAGATCAACATGATGCTTCTTCCCCGTGGAACCATGAACCCCAAAAGAAAGACCAGGTCTGGGTGATCCCCCGACCATCGCTCCGCTGCAGGAATCCTCAAGAACTCTGTCCCAGGTTTGAAAGGGAGCGGGCATCAAGCCCTTCTTATAACTCCGTTGTGATGGATGTGTCCGGGTGCACCACCCGGTCAGTAGTGGGGTCAGTGAAACTGTACGTAACCTGACCAATGGACGTAGCCACCTTCCTCCGTCGGTACCTTCTTATGACGCAGTCTCTTCCGTCCCGTGCGAAACTGTTATGAACTACACTCTGATGCTCGAGTGTCTAGAGCTGGGCCATGGAGCAGAGGCCCCCTATAAACCAAACTTAAGTAATAGGGGGCCCAAGAGTAAAAGTGACTCCGTCCCTTTACTAGTCCCTCGCCGCCTGCTCGGTACCTCTGACTTCCCTCCAGTCGTCAATCTCGCCTCCGGCTCAGACAGAACTCGCTCCGCTCGTGGCCCAGGCTGTGATTGGTGGTCGAGGGTTGTAGTTGTTCACGTGCGCGGTTGGGACTGAGTGACTGGGCGAGGTTGTTTGTGCTGTTTGTTTGTCACTCAGTCGTGTGTGTACCGTTCGGTGTGTGTGAGTTGTTGTACTGTGTGGTGTCCGTCGCGTGCCCTCACGGACATTGGCCCTCCCGTCGCGTGAAGACCGGCTTGTAAACGATTTACACAATCGAGGAATCGTCAACGTGACTCTTCACATCCGGTCCTTCGGCCCGTATGCACACCCTTCGGGTGTAATGTCCGTAGTCATGAAGTGCTCCGGGGTGATCCTCAGAGTAGATTACGTGCAATGTGTCACCTTGTAAACGCATTCGGATCACTTGTCAACGGTTTGGGTCTACGGTGCTGGTAGATTGCCATGTGTAGCCGGGTGGAGGAGAGTTCGCAAATTCAGGTTCTCTATACTCTTCCGCATGCGTACTCCTCCTGGGAATGATTCATCACTTGAAGCCTTTGTCCTTGCCATTCACCCTGAGCAGTTCATGGTTCCTCGGGACTGTCCACCACAGCCCGTCTCCTCAGACCACGGGAAAGGGAAACATCCTCACCCATATCGGGAAGGTGAGATGACCCAGTGGAAAGTGATTCTCTATATTTCACTTTCGCCCTCTCTGTCATACGTCGGATTTCATCCCACAGGCTCGTCAACAAGCACTGGTCTCCGAGCAAGACGCGGTCGCCCGTCTCCTAAAGCACGCCAACCAAACCGGCACGTTGCACTGCACAGCGTCCCAGCAGCAAGGTAAGTGCCATGCACGACTTCTCTCCGCGTCGAATCGGAAAGACACCGGGAGCGGACAGACCAAAGGTGCATCGCCCGGCTCACCATCCGGTTCGAGCCTCAACAAGGCCTCGAAGATTCCCGTCCTGGAGACGGCAGCATAGAAGCGAAAGGTCCGCTTGCCCAGTCGCTCGCAGCTCGTAGGACATGTCCAGGGGCCTAACGGCTGGCGACGATATCCACCGTAGAAAGTACCACCTGCGACACCATTGACGCTCTTTCAGCCGAGCGCAATCCGAGTGGGCACAGCATGTCATTCCAGAACACGCCGACTCCTTCTGAGGAAGCCGAAGAAATTCAGGCGGGACTCGCTGTGACGGCACTGTTCCGTCAGCATCACGGGCAAAGACCACTCCGCACCGCTCTCCAAGAGCCGAGACCCGAACCAACGGCTCCGATGGGGCGACAGACAGGTTTAGTACCCCGCCAGGGTGGATATGCTCCCAAGGGGCCACGCCACTAAGTGCGAGGGAGTTTGTTCGTCCCGTTCAACGAGCTCTCTGCTCCTCAAAAGAAAGCACTCACTCCCGTTCGCTGTGCCACGTCTCCAGCTCGGTCTCATGACCGCCAGTTCCCCGTCGCGGAAAGCTTTTGCTTCTCCGGAAGTGTTGACGGAAGGATGAGACTCCGTCATTGTCTCCGAATAAAATAAAAAGTCTTGAGTTTGCCCAACTCAAGGAAAGTGCGCGGCGTCCCCTCTTATACCTCCCGTATGATGCATGAATGTCCGGGTGCCTGCCCCGGCCAGTTGTGGAGTGGCTATGTAATCCCTGCGGGCAAACTAGCCAATTGAAACGCGGCGTGCTCCCTCCGTCACACAAGCCTCTTAGCACTGCTCCGTTCCCGCCTGTCTCTGTCGCTTTAGTACTGCAGTGAATCACGTGCGTTCATCCTGCTCTATGGGCTGGGCCGTTGTGCCATGGCCCCCTATAAACCAAACTTAAGTAATAGGGGGCGCGGCAGTCAAAGCGACCTCCCGTCTCTTTGTGTCCACTCCCTCCCGTCGTGTACTGGTGACTTCCCTCCGGTCGTCAACTCGCCTCCGGCTCAGACAATGCTCCTTCCAGTCGCGGGCCCAACGGTGTAGTGTTTGTAGTGTGTCTGTATGGGAGAGTGACTTGGACGTGTTCTGTGAATGAGTGTGTCGGTTTGTGAGGTGTAGTGTTCAGTCCGTCGTGTGCCCCTACGGGACACTTACTCCTCTTGTAGTGTTGAGCTGTCTTGTAAACGGGTTACTCAATTGAAGAGTGTTGATGTGACGCTTCGCTGCTTCCACGCCTCGACCTTCGGCTCGTCGCACCCCTGCGGGGTTCTGTTCGTATCTCGGAAGGGACTGGAGATGAAGGTTGGTAGCGCTTGGAGTATCATTCACTTGTAAACGGGGTTACTCTACCATCTGGAGTCGCTTCCTTGTAAACGTGTAGGGTCTAGTTGAGAAAGCCAAGAGCGGAGTGCTTGGAGAGTCTGGTCTACGTGGGTGGGTCATGTACGATACAGTCACAGTCACGGTCTCTTCTCGAGTGCGTCCGGTTGATTAGACGGGTAAAAAGGGTGAAGCCATTCCCCGGTCCATGAAGGGACATCCCATTCCATCTCTTACGTGGCAATGCAGTCTGTCGAGCATCGAGAGGTGATGCTATTCGGAGCCCCGTTTTAGGCAGGTCAGGTGTCTACGGTGCGATGTGGCCCTGACGGGCAGCACGTGTCTGTTACCCTTGCAATCTTTTATTCATGATCCTCATAAGAAGCCATATTGGTTCGACTGGGCTATGCCAAGCGTCACACCGCCTGCTTTGCGTGGCCACGTTGCCCTCGACTCGGGATCAATCTTTTGGGGCCGTCAGGTGGACAATCCTAGGTTAAAGTTCATCACTTCACCAAGTGATATATACTCCGGTTTTGCTCCACGCGCGGTCGAAGAAGCAAAAGTAAAGAGGCAGTGCCAAGTTGCAAGCAAGGTAATCCCGTCCCTTGCTGCCGTGTCTCCAGGTCCTATAGGGGAAGTGGCTCTCATCCTGGTTCTCAGTCTCTTCAGATGCATGTAGCTCTCAAAGCATCGTCTACGACCGTCTCCAGACGAAGTCTTCCCACCGGGTGGCTGAATGAAGCGGATCTTGTACAACTTTGTACACGATGATCAACCCACATCGTAGTCTTCACTCTTGGTGCACGCTCCTCTTGCTCTAGCCATGTCCGCTGGGCCATTGAACCCTTATCAGTGAGACACCCCCCTCAGGGGTTGTTGAACGCATGTGATCTCTCATCAACCGGGGAACAAACGGTGAACGGAGCCCGTCTAGGGCGCAGTGGGAGTGCCGTGGACACTTGTCCAGCCTCCAGTCTGAAGCTTGCTGACAATCACTTTCTTGTCTCCCGATTCGTGGCACAGCCACCAGGTACTCTCGTCCAGAGTCTTCTGAAAGAAAAAGAAGAGGGACAGAACGAGTCTGTCGTCACTGCCTGTGCGATGTGAGTGGGGTTAGGGTCGGTCGCCTTCGCGTGGCTCCGTGTCTGGACATTTCACCTTTGACAGTAGTCTACTACTCCGGATGATTTGACAAGCAAAACAAAAGGGAAGAAGAGGAGAACCTCCCCAGGTCTGTCTGGAAATGGGCGAAGCCTGCTTCTTATAGCCTCTCGGCTGGTGTGAGTCCCCACCTGTGTCCGGGTCTCCAGCCCGGCCCAAAGTGGATGTCAGTGAAACTGCGTAACCTGACCAATCGCGTGGCACTCCTCCTCCGGGGTGTACCTTCCTATGACTCAGTCTTGTCTGTCCCCTCCAAAACTGCTAGTACTACACTCAATCACGTGCGTGAAAGGTGTCTAAAGACTGGGCCATGGAGCAGAGGCCCCCTATAAACCAAACTTAAGTAATAGGGGGCACATGCAGTGAGTGACTCCGTCACCCACAGTAACTTCGCCCTCCAGGCTCGTACCTTTTCCTCCGTCCCGTCGTCCAAGGGCTCCCTCCGGTCGAAGGGCTCCTTCCAGTCGCGGGCCCAACGGAGAGTGTTGGATGTAGCTGCTCGGTCTGTTTGTGTGGTGGAGTGTACCTTCCGTCTGTGTGCGAGTGACTGGTGTCTGTTGCTGTGTGCGTGTATTGTGTGTCCGTCGCGTGCCCTTCGGGGACAATTGCTCCTCCTTCCTGGGTACTACTCCCTTGTGAACGCTGTACTCAGTTGAAGAGTCGTAAGTGTGGCTCTCACGTCCACACCTTCGGCGTGTCCGCACCCTTCGGGGTTGATTCCGTAGTCGTGAAACCCTGCGGGCTGATGCTCAGGGTGGATTGCTTGAAGGTGATGATCTTGTAAACGGGTTGGGAATACTTGTAAACGGATTGGGGTCTACTTTGTAAACGGTTTAAATGGGCGGTAAAGGGACAAGTGCTTGCATTATGTCTATTGGTAGCCGGGCAGAGTTGGAAATCGATCTTATAGATCGATTTTCGAGCCTGATCGATCGAATTTTATCGATCGTCACCTTCAATCGATCGATATCGATCGATCGCTGTTTGATTCGAATCGATCGACGATCGAATCGATCAATACTAAAAATCATCCCTATCTAGGTGATCTTGCCCATCAGTTGAAGAACTTGCCTCAATTGTCCCCTTCAAGCAGACCAAGAGGAAGTGTCGGCTGATAGATGCCAGCTTTACTCCAGGAACGAAGACACTGCGCCATCGCCACAATATGGCGTCGTAGGCGAGATCTCAGTGGTGTTATCATCCTCCCACAGCTGCTAAAATCTCTTTCCGTTCCTGCTGAAGACGACGCGATGGTAAGGTAGTCAACAGCCATATAAGACAGCCGAGGAAACCGCGCAACACCAACGTCCTTCCACCAAGCGATTGGGTCCGTTTTGTATGCGATATTTTCCACCGGCGGCTCTGATAGGTACTGATCAAGCTCGTCCTGTTCTTGCAAGGCGGTTGACTGCTTTGGTCCTTTAATTTGCCGCCCTCGAGGCTCAGGGCAAGCCAATGATCGACTAAACGCCAATCGACGCTCAATATAGTCCAAGCCACTATTAGTCGTATCCGCTGAAACACCATCGCAGGATTGCCGATGAGCCATGTTCTTGTACCTCTCTTTCCAGACTGTCGCTAAGCTTCGCATATGTTCTTTCCCACCTGACGTCTGACGAGACGGGAGTTGGCTCCAAAGCCGTTCCAGAGCGCGCCACTTCTTGCAGGGGTGGAACACCACTGCCGCTACATATGCGGTTGAGGTCAGCTTGCTATAGTAGTCGTTCAGCTTCTTCCATCCGAGCTTGATGTAAATCTTCAAAACCCTGCGAGTTCTTGCGTCCATGTCATTGAACAGGTGAACCTCTTTCATGGTCTGATCTTCGTTCTCTTCGATTATAACTCCTGAACTGCTAGTTCGAGGTGGTCAAGGAGCATCTCTACCACCGGAAGTACTCATCGAACCCTCCTGACGTGGAGCGTTTACCAGCAATACCTCGCCCTGGAGTTGCTTCGAGGCGATCTTGAATGGCTGAAGGATCTTCTGAACCGCAACAACGACCTTCCATTCTTCAAGGGAAAGTTGTTCTTTCAGTATCGCTGGTTTGTCCTGTTCTTTGCCGCCTTTGCCAAGCCATCGTTCCTCGATGATGGAAAACATCCTGTTCAAAGCCGTACGCTTCAGCAGAGCGCGTGAGGCCATCGCCTCATCGGATTGCCAGCGAGTGCAGACGTTTTGAACCCACGTAAGAATAGGTTCAGTAGGAGCGGTTTGCCGTTGAGCTTCGTAAAAGACCTCGAGAAGTTGACTGCTCGTTCGAAGAGCAATGCCAATATTGTGAAGTTTGCCAAATGGCCCAAACTTGCGGTACTTGTCCACTTCTTCGCCATTGATGATGTCGGGCAGTACGTCCTGATCCTGACTGCCTTCTGGGACTGTTTCAACCTCGAATCCTTCTTCCATGCTCGGCACACAGAAGTCGTCGTCGGTCGCCAGCTCATTGATAGCGTCGGACAACTGGCGCTGCTCTTCCTCTTCAGCCACAAAGTCCTTATCGCCCCAATGAGCAAGCAACTCGTTGAAATTATCCCTTTTGCTGCCGTACATCATAGCCCTGACGGCCAGGTTCAGAAAATGAGGGGCGCAGCGGATGCGACGCTCTTCCCTGTCGAAATCGAACTCAGCGGCAAGCGCTTCCACAGCCGTATCATTATTCGTAGCGTTGTCAAGCGTGTAGTACCCGATTCTGACGCCGGATAACAGTCAAGATTGTCAGCTAACGGACCCAAGAAGTGTTGACTGTGGTTCTATACCTGTCTTCAAGACCAAACGCGCATATTGTATCTGCAACTTCATCTGCAAGCGCTGCTCCAGTATGGCGTTTCGCGAGAGCCGGCAAAGCCAAGAGGATTCCCATTGGTTCCAATCTTGGTCGATAAAGTGGGCGTTGATACCGAGGAATGATGTGTTTTGTCGGGAAGTCCAGCCATCAAAGGTAAATGAATCATACTTCTCGCTCTTTGAAGCAGCTCGCAAAGCGGACCAAGAGCGCGATTATACTCATCTAGTAGCAGATTCACGCGTTTTGCCAGTTGGTATCTGGCCTTCCTGGAGAGCCGGGTTGTTGTAGAGAAGGAGTCGTCTGAAGCGCTCAGAGTTTACGACATTAAAGGGGAGGTTATGATATGTAAGCCAGTCGAGCAGGAGCAGTTGATTCATCTTCGGATCGAATAACGTATGCAGATTGCTGAGAAGAGTCTGATCTCGAGGGTTCGTCGGATCGGCGCGAAGCATATCAAGCAGGTTCCGTTCTGCACCTCCACTCCCGGTAACTGAGCCTGCACGTTGTCTAGAAGGTGGCTGACAAGTTAGCGGGCATGATCGAACGACGTGGAGATGGGGTACGGAGAGGTGGCACAAACCACGACTTTGTGCTCCTTCCTCAGATGTCGGACGACGCTTCCCAGTCGAAGCGATGAAGACGTAATGTGCTGTCTTCGGCCTGTCCCGGAGGAAGCATCTCTCGCAGATCCATACGATCTTGTGGGGCCGTGACCTGTTGTCCTTCATTCTGAATCCGATTGCCACCACCACGTCCGTTCTCGAGAAGGGTCGTGGCAAATCGTGAAGCCGGGGAACCGCCCAAATTTATCAGTCGTCCAAGCTTCATAATCTGAAACCCCATGGGTGCATATTTAGTTGATGCTGAACTGGTTGTCGGCTCGGAAGGCGGCGGCGTGGAGGAGGCGATCTCTATGTCCTCATCAAGCGCGTCCATGGTGGGAAACGTCCGTAAACAATGTGGGCGAGGTCAAATCGAAGGGTGCGAGGCTGATAAGGTCGAATCTGTATGAAGTCTACTCGGACAGGCTGAGGCCCGAAATAATTCCTGGTTGCGACGCGTACTGATTCCGTTGAACGGGGAGGACTTGCAAACGCAAGAGACGGAGAGATCAATTTACTTTTGTCGACACGCGACGCGCGGCAACAAGATAGATATGACTGGCTGCCTGGGACCCCCGGTCGTTTGCCAGGGTGTTTGGCAGACGCGTCGGGCGGCAGCATCGTCACGCATCCAACCTACGCAGCCTACCCTGGACACCTTGTATGGACATGGCGAACGACGATCAAATCGATCGATTGGAGGTTGGATCGATACGATATCGATCGAGCAGGACTTCTAATCGATCGATCGAAATCGAAATCGATTCGATTAATCGATTCGATCAAATCGATTGTACGATCGATTTCCAAGCCTGTAGCCGGGTGATTACAGTCACGGTACCCTCGCTCGGGGTTAAGCTCCATGCGGTTAAAAGATGCTCGTTTTGTCCCATACAAACAATTTGGCAATATGAAGGTATCGCGATATACCGATACAGTAAGTCCTCCTGAACGCCGACGCTGCTGAGAAAAGGGATGCACGAAAAGGGAAGGAAAGCCGTCACAGCTCCCGTGTGACCAGCCCGGTGGCAAACTTCAGGTTCCTCTTCTTCTCCGCTGCCGAGCCGGCGGTGGATTCCCATGTGGCGTAACAGTTGATCGACGTCCCGTACTATCGTCGAGGAATAGACGTGTCAGCGTAAGGAGTTCCAGGTTCGGGAGATCACCCACCATGCAATCTCTCCAACTGGTTGACATTGTCAGGGAAACCTCAATCACTTCGCCCGTCAGGACGCTGTGCAAAGGCACCAGGTCCATATCTCCGCGCACGACTGTGGCATTCCGCGCCTGCACCACCGCGTTGCGGTTTCTGTAAAAAGGGAGTTGTCAGCAACCGATGCCGAAAAGAGAGGAAACACGGCTCAACTGACGACACCGTGACCTTGCGATCCAAGACGTCCATCCGGCGATCTATGCCGTCGACCTTCCGGTTTAGCATGGTGAGCTGTTCCAAAACAGCATCCATCCTTTGCGCCAGACGAGCACCGCCGTCCACCGCGGGAAGATTGTCGCAGAGCTCCAGATGTTCTGCTGCCAGCCTCAGGGCACCTGCCGCGGTGGAGAAATCAGGCTGACGAAGTCCTGCGTCATGCTCCATGATTGCCAAGAGTGATGCGCGCTGTCCGAAGAGTCGCTCCCGGATCGATGGCGGTCACTTCGTCTGTCCCACGAGGAAAAAGCAAGATCCACTTGCCCGGGTGGCGTTGTCCCCAAGCGTGGTCGCTGTGTCTGCGCCGCGTCTCCGCGGTAACGAGTGCGCGTAGTCAGCTGACTGACGCTATTGCTTTCCTAAGCAAGTTCCTCCGGAGTATTATTCGTCCCGTGCCGGGGTGGATACCTACCCTGGATCAAGTCCCTTTCCTCTTCGAAAAACAAAACGATGCACTTCCGTGATGCTGCCGGAAAAGTGGAAAAGAAGAGCAAGTCTGCTCGACAGTCGCTCCGCTGGGGGTCTTCCTTTTATCCATCCTCTCCGAGTGTCTGTAGCATCTGTCCGGGTTTCTAACCCATCCAGTAGTGGAGTGGCTATGTAAGCTGTGCCAGCAAACTATCCAATGAGTGCGTGGCGTCACCCTCCCTGTGTGGCTGCCTCTTAGTACGATTGAGCTTCCCCCGGTCGCTTCAATTTAGTACCACACTCAATCACGTGCGTGAAAGGTGTCTAAAGACTGGGCCATGGAGCAGAGGCCCCCTATAAACCAAACTTAAGTAATAGGGGGCCGAAGCACAGAGTGACCTCCCGTCACATACAATCCTCGCCTCCAGCTGCGGTACCTTTGACTCCCTCCAGTCGTTCAAAACCTCCCTCCGGTCGAACAGCTCCTTCCAGTCGCGGGCCCAGTGTGTGATTGGCTGGTGCGGGCTGGACGTGGGTGAGTGGGTGAACGAGGTAGTGTGTGCTGGGTGTTTGTTCTCCCACTCACTCTTTGCCCGTGGTGTGTGTATTGTGTCGTGTCCGTCGCATGCCCTCCGGACAATCGCTCCTCTTGTATTTGCGTGGATTCCCTTGTGAACATGTCTACTCAATTGAAGATTCTTGCAGCGTGGCTCCTCACATCCGCACCTTCGGCGCTCCTGCACCTCCTTCGGAGGTAATGTCCATAGTCATGAAATGGTCCTCCGGAGGTGAACTTCAAGGCTGTTCCTTGTAAACGGGGGTTGGCGTGGTGACTGGGAAAGGAACGAGTGCTTGGGTGGAGTGGGTGGTAGCCAGGGGCCATGGGTGACCGTGTGAACGCATGTGAGGGCTACGATGGTGGAGTGGAAGATGTGTTCCTTGTGGACGGATTCGCTGTCGCTCCTCACGTCGCTGCATCTCTGTGCCCAAGGGTGTTGCGGCTCGTGGTGGCCGGGGATGCATTACGATTCATTCAGTCTACGTGGGTGGGCGGCAGCCCGTGCCTTTATACCTCTCGTGTGCGTAGAGTGTCCGGGTGCTGGCCCGGTCAGTTGTGGGTTGCATGGAAGCTGATGGAAGGTGCCCAAGACACCATGTGATTCGTTCATCTGCATGCTTGTCTACAGTCTACGTGCTGCGTGAGGGCATCGTGGCCGCTGAAAGAGGAAGGCGGGGCTGCCCCCTTGGCGTCTCGCTCCGTGTCTTCCGACACTTGCCAAACAGCTCCTGCTGGCATAGGAGGAGGAACCGTCTGGGGTTGATCGGTCCTGGCCTCTGCGCAAGGGATTTCCGACCTCGCTTCGCTCACCCAACAAGTCAACACTGACTCCAGTCATGTCCCCTGGGCCATGCAAACCTTTCTGGTGAGACGCCCGGCCGGGCTGTCGAACGCAGTGGGAGTCCATACGGGAGCAAGCGCCAGCGCGCGCACAAGATACACGCCTTTGTCCCCAAGATGCGGATACCAACCGAGTCCCTGCCGCGGGGACAGTGGAGAAGAAAGGAAGCGGAGTGGACCTCTTGTCCTTCCATGCTGTTCCTACCAGTAGAAGAGAAGGAATGAGAGAACCGCCGGGTTCTGTGTGTGTGGGCGGCAGCCCCCATATCCCCTTGCCGGGTTTCCAATTGTTCGTTCCTCTCCCATTATTCCCTCGCTCCCTGCGGTCGCTCCGTCAAGACTCCGTCTCCTGCGTCCGTTAGCCCCTTTCGCATCCGCTTGGTCCTACTATCAGTCCTCTTGTCCTTGCGTCCTCTGCTTGGGGGTAAAAGAGGCAGAGTCAACCTGCTCTGGGCTGTAGACCAGTCTGTGCGTGTCATTTCGTCCTCCTGTCCTTTGCATCCGTTGATCGGGGTTGCTTATGCGTCACTTCTCGTGCCTCTTGTATCGTCGTGGCGCAGCCGCTCTGTCCCTCTCCAAAATGAAAGAGAAGAAGAGAAGAACCGCCGGGTTCCGTGTCGAGGGGGCAGCCCCCTCTATATACTTCCTCCGTGGTGTGTAGTCCCCACCAGTGTCCGGGTCTCGCGCCCGTCCATTTCCGAGTGGGTGTGTGGAAGCTGCGCAACCCACACGAGTAACGTACCATCTATCCATCCGTCTGATTGGTTCTTAGTACTGCTTGTCTCCTGCCGGTCGTCTTCGCCTATGGACCGCAGTGAAACTACTTTGTAGTAACCTGCCTAGGACTGGGGCTGGGCCGTTGTGCCATGGCCCCCTATAAACCAAACTTAAGTAATAGGGGGCCTGGGTGTCCGAGTGACTCCGTCCCTCTCACAATCCTCGCCTCCAGCTGCGGTACCTTTGACTCCCTCCACTCGTGCAAAGACTCGCTCCGGTCGCACAAAGCTCCTTCCAGTCGCGGCCCAACGGGTAGCTTTTGTACTGTGTGTCTGCGTGCCAGTGACATTCATGCAGACTGTTGGTCCCTCACCTTGTTCCTTTGCTCGGTGCCCTCGCTCAGTCAGTCCTACTTAGACTGTTCTGTACTGTCAGTCCGTCGCGAGCCCGTTGGACACTTGCTCCTCTTGGATTGTTTACTTCCTAGTAAACGCTTTACTCGGTTGAAGATGGTGAACGTGACTCTCCACAGTCGAACCTTCGGCTCGCCTGCACACCCTTCGGGTGTAATGACCGTAGTCGTGAAATGCCCTGCGGGGCTTAAGCTCAGGGTGGATTGCTTGGAGCTCATTCTCTAGTAAACGTTGAGTGTACTTGTAAACGGTTTCTATCTAGGATGCTTATAGGTTTCATGTGGTAGCCGGGGCGGTGGGTGCTTCTATTCAGCAGCATAGGTTCAGTCTGCCCCTTGTGAACGTGGTCACTCTATCTGTACTTCTACTTCCGTGCCACATTTTCTGCCCGCTCCCCCTGTCGCTTCCTCTGCTGTCCTGGGTTGCTGTGGCGCTTTCCCCACGGTCACTGTTCCTCCTTCCGATTCTTCTCCCGAGGGCTGGGTCTACGGTCCTTAAGGTCTGCCGTCCAACTGTCTGCGCGGAGATAGTCTGAAGGTCAGGGTGCTTCTTGGCCTATACGTTCACAGGGGCTGCCGTCTGCCGTCTACGTGCCATGTGAGGGCATCGTGACGACTCGAAAGGAAGGCGGGTTGCCCCTCAGCGTCCGACTGCTTGTCTTCCGACGTTTCAGTCTTTTCCCTCTCGTCACTGCTTCTCCCACGGGCGTGTTTCTGCCGTGCTTCTCGGCAAGGGCTTTGGCGGTTCGCTTCTCTCACCCAACGAGTCCACACCGACTCTTGTCCTGTCCAATTGGCCGCGGGATGGTGGTCGACGGAGCGCCCGGGCGCGCGGAGTGCATTCCCTTTTCCTCGAGAACGGAAACAAGCGGGAGCGTAGCCCGCAGGGCGCAGTGGAAGCGCGTGCACAGGATACAGATCGAGTCTCCCAAGATGCGGATACCGACCGAAATCCTCCAAGGGGAACAAGTGGAGCGCAAGCCCGGCCGAGGGCTGCGGCGGGAACGCGTGCACCAGTCAGTCGGCACCCGATGCTTTCTCCTTCCACGGGAAGAAAGAAACAAGGAAAAAAACAGAACAGGCCTGTGCGTGTCTCTTGACCACCGGTATCCCGGTGATTTCAGTTCAAACGATGCTTTCTGCTCGACGAAAGTAAGAGGACAAAACCCGAGTCTGTCCATGTCTCTAGACCGTCACTGCTCGTGCTCCGGGTAGGTTCTCACCCAGAGTGTCCTTCTTGTCCCTGTCTGTGTTTGTCAATAGTCCTTACCGTCCGGTGTCTTGTCGTGGCCCAGCCACCATGTAGTCTCCCGTGACTAGACTGTTCTCACCAGGCGGTCCTCTGGTCGCGCCGTAGACGCCATTGCCCTCTTCGCCAAGGAAAATGAAGAGGAGAGGAACCGTGCTGGGTTCAGTGGTGTGTTGGAGGGCGCCGTCCCCTCTTATAATCTTTCAATGTTTGCGCTCCCGCATATGTCCGGGTCTCTCCCGTCCATACTTGCCCTGGCTATGCAACCACTACGTGGAAGCTATCCAATGAGAACCAGCATCCTCCCTCCATTCAGATAGGCTGTTATGACTCACTGCTGTCCGTCCCGTCCTTCCGTGCTATGTACTGTAGTCAATCCCTGAGCGGGAAAGCTACCTAGGACTGGGGCTGGGCCGTTGTGCCATGGCCCCCTATAAACCAAACTTAAGGATATAGGGGGCGCGGGGGTATGCGTGACCTCCCGTCACACACAATCTCACCCTCCGGGCTCGGTCACAGTGTCCTCGTTCCTCTCGTCCAGTTCCTCGTTCCACTCGTCAGATCTCGCTCCGCTCATACAAAACTCCCTCCGGTCGTGGGCCCAGGCTGTGATTGGTTGGGGGTTGGTCATGTGTAGTGTGTGGTTCACGTACGCGGATTGACTGAGTGCGTGAGTGGGTCTGTTGTGTGGCGTTGCACTCAGTCTTGTGTGCTTCGTGAACGTGAGTGATGTTGTGAACGGGTTGTGTTCGATTGAAGATGGTATGAAGGTTGACGCTCATTCTGTTCGGTGCTCTCGTGCTTGTGGTTGCCAACAATTGTTCCTGTGCTCCCATACGGTCGCGGTCACCAGTCCCGTGTCTTGTGTCGACTTCCTTGTAAACGAGTTGATTCCATTGAATATCGTGAGTGTGACTCTTCACAGCCAGTCCTACGGCCTGTCTGCACCCCCCTTCGGGGGGGTTGATTCCATAGTCGTGAAT